TATGCATAAAAATGATATGGTCAAAATACTCACTTGCCTAATAATTGTGCACACAGTGTATCTAACTTCCCTTTTTTGGGGAAGGTGGTTGTGCAACAGCTTCAGAGGGCCTTGGATGAAGCAGATTAGCTGGATCCTCTTCAGTCCTGATTCAGACCTGGGTATGGGACAGAACAGCATTGGTCACATTTCTGGATGATCTCTGGCATGGATGGGATGGAGGTTGTGCATCCATCCTTGCCCTACTTGACCTCTCGGCAGCTTTTGATACCATTGACCACAGTATCCTTCTGGATCGGCTCAGGGGACTGGGGGTGGGTGGCACGGTGCCATGCTGATTTGCCTCCTTTTTCTAGGGTCGATTCCAATCAGTGATGATTGGGGAGGAGAGGTCCCACACTCGGCCCCTATGTGTTCTCCCCTCTCCTATTTAATATCTACATGAGACTGCTGGGTGAGCCCATCTGTCACCACGGGGTGAGGTATCATCAGTATGCTGATGATACCCAACTATACATCTCTGCCCCTGGCGAAGTAAGTGATGCTGGATGTCCTGTCCCAGTGGCTGGAGGCTGTGAGGGTCTGGATGGGGAACAACAGGCTTCAGCAAGACTGAGTGGCTCTGGGTTCAGGGTCCTGCCAGTTCTGGAACTATACCATCTTTGGTGCTAGATGGGGTGGCACTGCCCCAGACAGACCTGGTGTGCAATTTGGGGGTGGTCCTAGACTTGAGACTCCTGCTCAAAGAGCAGGTGGCAGTCATGGCTAGGAGGGCCTTTGCACAACTCCATGTTGTGCACCAGTTGCGCCCCTTCCTGGATTGAGAGGCTCTGCTTACAGTCATTTATGCCCTAGTCACCTCCAGACTGGACTACTGTAATGCGCTTTACATGAGGCTGCCCTTGAAGAGTATCTGGAAACTTCAACTGGTGCAGAATGCAGCAGCACAGGCGGTTATGTGTGCTCCTCGAAGAGCACATATTACATCTCTGCTTCGTGTGTTGCATTGGCTGCTGGTTTGCTTCTGGATCCAATTCAAGGTGCTGGTTTTGACCTTTGAAGCGTTTCATGGCTTGGGGCCAGGTTATCTGAGGGACCGCCTCTTCCTGATCACATCAGCCCATCCCATTACATCTGGCAGGGAAAGTATGCTGCACTTCCATTGGCCAGGAAATTGCATTTGGTGGGTCCCAGGAGGGGGGCCTTCTCTACTGTGGCTCCCTCCTTGTGGAACATTTCCCCCCCTGAAGTGAGGCTTGCCCCTTCCCTGGTTTTGTTTAGGAGGTCCCTCAAGACCTAGTTGTGTCATCAGGCCTGGGGGTCTTTGGGAACCGGAGACATTCTTAGATGGCTCCACCGTGGGGTTTGTATATTTTAAAATCTAATTTTAAAAAAGTGATTATGTTTTTATTTTAATAACAACTTTTTATCTTTTTATAATGCCTGTTTTTATTCACTTATTTTATTTTCATTGTTGTATGCTGCCCAGAGTCGCTTTGTTTGAAATGGGCTGCTATATAAATGTGATGTGTGTGTGTGTGTGTGTGTGCGCGTGTATAAATAAATAGGCAGCATTTCCATGGTTGAGAGACTGTAGTTCTCAACAGGTAAAGGCCCATCTTCTCAAGGTAGAAAATTAATCTTCCAATTTGAATGTCATGCTTCTAAAAAGCAAAAAAGAAAACTGTCTAAATTCCCAAAACTGTCATTGTTCAGGTTAAAAATTTGGGAATTTTATTA